GGTCCGTAAACTTGCAAAGCCTAATAGAAATGCGAATGAATATTCATAGATTTTCCTGAAGTTTCTCCTTTAAAATTTGTTACGCAACAATTTAAGCCGCTCCTCCCTTTACGTTTCCGTCTCAGGAGGACATTAATTGTTCAGCATACAGAACATAATTATATAATAGGAAAGAAAGAAAAAAACCTTATTTTATATATAATGAAACTTTTCATTTTTTCCGGCAAATTAATATTTCACATTGTTGCTATTTTTTTATGTTCAATTCATCCTTGGAGTACTGAAGGGGAGAAAACATGGAATCTCACGTAGATTGGAAGGGACAACTTTTTCCTGTTGATTTGTGAGGTTTCATAAATTTCTTCTCAATGTTTGTAAATATATTTCAAAGGAAATCTGGTATTGATTTTGATATAAAAAAATACTTTTTTTCAAACTTAAGATTATTTGCTTGTGTTTTCAGCCTGAAGGAAGGCTATCAAAGACAATTCGTTCGCACGAAATGAGAATTTAATTTGTTTCGATTTATTTCCACTCGGCATCTTTGAATAATGGAAAACTTCCACAAAATTGGTTTAGTTTCTGTAATTGGTCTCTTTACTGCTCCTTCCATCCATTCGCTTAATATTAGGTTTAGCCTAATGCTTTCCACGCGTAATGGAAGGAAAAAAAAGTAAATAAAAAAAACGAGTAAATAAATGTCGTTACGCATGTTTTCCTTTCACATTTTATTTATTAGGACTTTATTGCATGCATTTATTACATTACACACATCCCCGATGACAACAAATATATTAAATAAAAAGACTTACAAATCGTGCATCGTTACCGAAACCTGATGACACGACGTAATGGGCCGTAATCCCATGGAATTTTTTTCATCAAGCGAACACCGAAATTATTTATGATGTAATCCACTTTTACTCGATCTACTTTTTTTTTTGACTTTCCTTAAATAGGCTGAGTTCATGTCCATTTTTTTTTGGTCCTAATGATCTCGAGATCTATGTCAGATGAAGCTTTGTCCCGAGTTATCCTTTGCCGGACAGCTCTTGAGACAAGGGTCCTTAAGCCCAAAAGGAGCATCCCTATTATCCTACAATTAACTGTAAAATATGGAACAAATTTAACACTGTGACAATTACAACGTTTGCAAATCTATATTAAGAAACTCCATGATCTTTCACAAAATATCCAATATTCAAATTAGTTTTACTGTCTCAAATTTCTCACATAATAGAAAGCATTATTTTTGGCTTTAACATACGTCTTCCAGAATTCATCTACTCTTCGTAGTTTTGTAAAAATATACAAAAAAAATGTAATATATTCCTTGTAAAAATTTCTTAGTAAATTACGTAAATAAAATATACTTTATTATAAAAGGACTTGTTATAAAAGATTATAGTTATCACTTTAATATGTGTATTTCAGTATTACCATAAATTTACATTCATTAGATTTAATTTGCTTGAAATTAATTTTATTAAGTACACAATGGAATTTAATTATGCGTTAATTTCATAATCAAAAACGAAATTTACGTTGCAAAATACCAACAGTAATTAAACTCTAATTAAGTGCAGCGAGAATAAAATTTAATAAAATTAATAACACAAATTTTACAAATTTTTATAGAAATTGAACCCTTATATTTGTAATTAGTACATTATTAATTTGTTTTGAAAATATTAAACAAGAAAGTAATTTTTACTTTTACTAATTTTTCAATGAATCCTTCAAATAAAATGAACAGCAGGATTATAATTATAATTATTGAATCAAGGCAGAAATAATTATAATTAATACACAACAATTATTTCAAATAGAATTCCATAAATATCGCTTATTTAACCGTAACAAATTAATTATAATAATCGTTTATAGTACAACAATAATTATATGAAATAATATATCATTATTTTAATTTAATCGTGTGACGCGGAATAGCGATTGTTCCGAATCGAAGGGAAGGGAAAACAAAATAAATATATAAAATACGTTGCGAAATGATCCATTTGTACGTGTGCATATTATTTAGGAAAAGCTGATGGCTTTAATTGAAACATCGATTTTACGATAATTGCGAACAATAATAATAATCACATAATGAATTTAATTTAAATTTAAACTCCAGGACATATGGATATAATGAATATGCGCTACGTGTATAGAAATAAATTAATTATTTCAATATGTTATGTAAATCCAAATAAATTGAAATGAGTTCGTTGCAAACGGCGATTCACAATTATAAACACTGATGAATCCCGGAATCTTCCCACGTCGAAACTCACGAAAATCTTCAAGATTTTTTTATAAAGGGTGTCCCAAAATTAACGCAAGATTTGAATTTGCCGCCATTCGCGCAGTAAAGTGTTGGAAACCCCAAAAAAAAAGACAATTTTACACTTTACTGCACTAATGGCGGCAAATTCAAATGTTGCGTTAATTTTGGGACACCCTTTATTTGTATTTCGAACGCGATAGAACCAATCGTGTTACAGTTTATTATGTAACATTTCATCCTCTCTTTCACTTCGATCTATATTATATAAAATAATTTGTTTGTTTATTTGGATATTGTCGCAAACAGACCGATTGTAATTACATGACAATCATCAGTTCGTATTGTTTCTACTGACGTTCGCATCAATTATTAGACATTGTGTTAACATTCGAACGGATTCTGCGGGAATCCCAGAAAGCTACAACGTTTGTTCATACATTGTTCTCGATTCAATTATATTATTATTATTATCCTTCTCCGTTCTCGAAGTCCATTAATAAACCGGTCGTATTGGTAAACAAATTACATTTCGCAATTGCCGTTCAAACTTTAAATTGCTTTCAGGCAATTACAAATTGACCGATCGCCATCGTTATCTATTCATCATTCAATTTTGCGTTCAACTCTCCGCATGATTTCAATCGATTCTGGAAATCTTTTGATGGAGGAAAACAAGCATTAATAATATTAATTGTCAATAACTAGAATTTATCATTTCATCTTATTCAAATTCGAACTGGAAAATTCTTACAATTGCTTCAACTAATTCAAATTTTATTGGATAATGACAGTTGTAATCATCTTGTATTAATTGAAGCAAATGTAATTTTAATACATATTTGATTTATAATTACAACTGAACCGAATGGTGTAAATTACTAAAAGTCTAATCAGCTTCAGTAACTTTTCAAATTTGACAGTAAATTATAAGAAATAAAAAAGTAGTGAACTTTATTACAAGTATACTTATTTCAATCTTTGTAGTTATGGCTTTGATATGCATATTTCATAATCAATCTACACCTAGTAGTTTTTAAGAAATAAGCTAATATGTTAAGACACTTTCTTCAATGCTTATTTTTTTGATATAGTAACTTTGATAGAAAACCAAATATTTCATGTTATTATAAGTACAGTTTTATTAATTCCCATAGTTTTGGTTTCCATATGCATATTTCATCATTAAGCTACACGCTGAAGATTTTGCAATAATGAAAAGACACCTTTTTCTAGGTTTAATTCTTCACTTTCTAAATTTTAACAGTAAATTTCAAGGAAATTATAAAGTGCACAATATTGAAAATATATTTATCTTAATCCGTGTAGTATTAGTTTTCATATGTATATTTAATTTTAAATCTGATCCTAGCAGTTTTTGAGAAAAATGCACAAATGTAAAGGAACTATATCAAATTTAACATGAATTTAGAATAAAACCATATGATGCATATTATTAAAAATATATTTTTATTTATTCCAATAATTTTGTCTTGTACATGAATATTACATATTTAATCTGTATCTAACAGTTTTTAAGAAATATACACATATTTTTCAACACTAAATTTTTAACTATCTGATTTTTTTACAGTAAATTACAAGAAAATAATAAAGACCACACAGTTACAACAATAATTTTCTTAATCTTTGTATTTTTATACATCATATGCTTATTTCATATTGAATCTGCTCATCGTAGTTTTCGAGAAATATCGAAAAATGAAAAAGATAGTATGTCAAATTTAACATTAATTTAGAAGAAAACCATATGATGCATATTATTACAAATATATTTTTATTTATTCCAATAGTTTTGTCTTGTACATGAATATTTCATAATTAATCTGTTTCTAATAGTTTTTGAGAAATATGCACATTTTCTTTAACACTAAATTTTTCACTATCTGATTTTTGACAGTAAATTACAAGAAAATTATAAAGACCACACTATTACAACAATACTATTCTTAATCTTTGTATTTTTATACATCATATGCATATTTTATATTGAATCTGCTCCATGTAGTTTTCGAGAAATATCCAAAAATGTATAGAGACTATTTTTAATCCCTAAAATTTGATATTATTTCACAAGAAAACCAAACGATTAATAAAAAAAATATACTTTTACTAATTTCTATAGTATTGACTCACATATGGAATTTACATAAATGAGAAATATGCAAAAATGTAAAATCTGCGAGTTTTGCAACAATTATTTCCAACAAAAGTAAAAAGTGAAACTTAACTTTTTACAACTTAAAATTTATAATTCTAATTGTATTAATTTCCGTATTTACTAAATATTTAAAGATTTTAAATGTGTAATTTAGTATAGAAATTATATGCGTGAAATTGAAATAGAAATAGTGAAGAAAATAGTTTTCAAACAAATAGTCGAAATTGGGTTCAAGTCTTTTGCGTTTGAATGTTTTATAAGGAATAAGACGAAGCGTAATAAAATAATAACAGATGCGGGTCGAAAATTGACAAAAGAAAAAGATCAACAACAACAACAACAAGAACAACGGGGGAGAGATGTAAATAATTTACTGTGGGTTCTCCTTCAATTGCAGTGTGAAATATTTAAGTGGACGGCGTCTGGAGCATAAGATGCTGGAGCATTGGCTCGCATCTTGGCTTAAATATATATATAGAAGTTCTCGTGTATTGAGTTTAGATGGTAAAGGTGTTTTTCGTGTCTTTGCAGGTAGCGGAGTGACGAACGGTTTGAGATGGGTGAGGGTGAATCTACCCCAATACAGGAAGCCCGGAGAGCTCGCCCAGCTGCAGTGCGACTACGACCTAGGGAATGACACCCTATACGCCGTCAAATGGTACAAAGAGCACGAGGAGTTCTATCGATACGTCCCAAAGGCCCGACCCCAGGCCAACAGCTACAAAGTCGAGGGTGTACACGTTGACGTAAGTGCATATATATCTCTCTACATATCCAACACTACTCTCATCTCATTCATCCCTATATAGCAACAACAACAACATTTAAAGCTTTAGAACTTCAGGCATATTTTAGAAAGGAATTTATAACTAAATCACTAACAAGACAAACAAACATTCCATGAAACAAAATTACAATTACATTATGAAATCAATATGAATCACAATAAACATCAATTAAAAACTGATTTACTATAATCTATAAGATTAACATATTTTTTTAATGATCAATCAAAAGTTTCTTATCATTAGATTAATTGAAACACATTTATGACTTATTTTCAACCAAGTTAAAGTTGTAATTATTTCAATCCCAAATTATAAAATGCATTTACAAACTGTGTTTAATAATTTATAAAATCAACTATTTTTCTCCAAATTCAATAAAAACAGAAAAAAAAATGAAGATGAAAAATTAGTGTTTCTTTTAATACTGTTTTGTGAGGAATATTCAATGATTTGTTTTAAATTCCACATCAAAAAAACAAGAAATTGCATCAAATATTTATTGCTTCAATTAATATCAAACGTGGTAATATTAATAGTTTATAATTTTTAAATTCTTTAAAAAAATATCATGAATTATTTCTGAAAATTAACGAATATTGTTCTAATCAATAACATTGTTACATAGCTATAATCCATGGAATTTCTAGCAGATATTTGCTTCGAAAATTTAAAATAATTTCATTCAATATTAGTAATGGTACAGACATTTAAAAAAAAAGTTCTTGAGGAATTTTTCAATACTTTTTCTCCTAATTTCGCAGCAAACAAAATAAACATTACATAATTCAATAGCATAATTCTAAAATTGAAAAATCTATTTAAATTATATAATTTTCTACTAACTTTTAAATTCTAAAACTAAAAAAAAATAGGTAAATCTAAATTAAATTTGCATTTCCATAATCAATATAAACTGCATTAATTTCTACATTCCATTTTTTTTTTCAAATTTTCTTTATTAAACTGGTCAATTTGGGCCGATTCACGAAACAATTTCCAATTGGATTGCTCATAGAATAAATGTAAATCATTAAATCACGATTTGCGCCAATCGCATTATACAATATATACAAGCGAATACATATTTCGAGCGGCGTCGAATCAATTCCGCGCTGTTTCCCATTATTGTGATCGAAAACGGCGAGGCAGAAAATTCGGACCCTCCGAAATCCTAATAACCGAAAACGCCAATTTGAATATAAGAAAATGACCATTAATTATTCATGAGCGCACGAGTTGATTTGCAGCGCCGCGGACCCTGCAAACATGTAATTTAGAATATAGATGACTTCATAATTATTCCGATTCACTTCCAGCCGCCACCACCGCTGACCTAACAACGAAATCCATTTTTAGATGACCAGAGTTTCGGTTACGCAATTACAGCCCAACTTTTACAATTATCAAATTTTAATAAATTTGATTTAGCAACATAATTAGAATATATATATATATACGTAGTGTGTCCCAAAATTAACGCAAGATTTGAATTTGCCGCCTTTTGGGGTTGCCAGAACTTTACTGCACAAATGGCGGCAAATTCAAATCTTGCGTTAATTTTCAGACACTTTACATAAAGATGCGTCCACACTGAGCATAAATATTTAAGATTTAAGTTCTCAATTTAGTTTTAGTGTCATTTCGTAACATTTCATGTACAATTACAGTTAATACAAAAGATTTTGTGAAAATTTCAATTAATTAGATTTTCTATCATGTAGAAAGATTCATGAAGGAAATAACGTATCATGAAGGAAATAACGTATTTTATATGAATTTTCTTTTTCTATTTGAAAATATCAATTTGGTTGATGCTTTTGCTCCATGCGGATTAAGAATGAAAACGATGGAATTTCTGAATTCATACACGTATTAACATTTTTTTTTCATTGTGTGCACGAAAACAAAGTTGCATGGGGATTACGTGGGACAAACAATTGGTCTAGGAACTCCAATATAAAGCTGATTGGATTGGACAGTGCATTCATTGTTTTTGCAGTGGAGTGTACAGAAACTTTCACGCATTTTTCATACCAAATCGATACATGAACACACACACACACGTCCCGTTACATAACGTGTTTTATTCATTTTATTTTTAGTGAAATATTTTCACTTTGCACAAATATTTTCGTGTTTTATTTTATTATTGCCGTTGCGACGCGTTTTCCGGTATAGTTTGCAATCAATATGTTTGTCGACGTCCTTTCACATCTGATTGATACAATGCGACGAAGGGGAGAAATATGCAACGGAGGAACACGTCCGGGCTGCGCGTTGTTTAAACTTCAATAGTTTCCACTTTATTCCGTGTTGAAAGCAAAAATTCGCATATTATTTTTTGCACACAAAGGAAGTAAAGGAGAAACGAAATACGTGTGCATGTGAAAACTACTTTTGTCCTATACATGAAAAGCCAGATGTTATAATGGAAACTCATATTAAAACATCTAATTATGAGTATCATTCATTTCTCATATTAATTTCAACCCTTAATTATATTACAGTAATAGAAATACGTACAAATTGCATTAATCCTCATCCTCAATCATTAGACAGTTTTCACAATTTTTGTGAAAGAAATGTCTAAATTTTATAGTAACAAAATAAACATAATATAAATCAACAGCATAATTATATTGTTGCAAAATCAATTTGTGGTCAATTTTCAGAACAAATTTTCTATTATGTTTCTCATTCTAAAGTTTTACAGAGGAATTTGCAATGGAAGTTCATGAATCGAATCTAAATTTACAGTTTCTTAAATATTTTTTCATTTTATAAAAAAAAATGATGTAAACCTATAGATTAATACTAATACCTATTAATTAATACTAATAGTTGAAAATCCTGTTTTTTCTTTAAATTATTTTTTTAGTTACAAATTTTGTTAATTTTCTAATATTTTTATTTGAAAATGTTGATTTTCCTTTACATTTATTTAGAAATAATTACATACAATTTAAGAGGGATTCAATGGTCCTTTGTATGTTATTATACAATCAATTTTATCTAATAATTAATTACTTAAACAATTAGATACAATAAATTATTTAAAAAAATTAGTATAATTAGAATTTTTCATTTTTATAATTAGATTTTTTCATTTTATCAAAAAATAAAAATGTTGAAAACCTATAGATCTTAATTAATACTAATAGTTGAAAATCCTGTTTTTTCTTTAAATTATTTTTTTAGTTACAAATTTTGTTAATTTTCTAATATTTTCGTTTGAAAATTTTGATTTTCGTTTTATTTAACTTTTCTTCTAAATTGATTTATTAACATCAAAGATTGTTAATAAATTGTTTCTAAATAATTTTTGGTGTAAATTTAAAAATAATTACCAAAAAAGAGGATTTTTAATTATTTTGTCTATGAATATTTCTAATAGTTTCATATTAAAATTGTTAAATTTATAGATTTTTCTAAAGTACATATTTTCTTGTGTTTACAATTCAAATCATTTTTATTTCTGTATTTTTAGGGGAAGAAATATTAGGTGTTATTCTCGCCCCCATATTGTGTGCGAATTTCAGATATTTATTCGTTACTTTGTACGTTTCTTTTATTTCTTCCATTTCTCATTCCTTGTCGTTTTTATCCCTCTCCTTCATCCGCATCTTTTTTTTATATATATATATATCTTTTCTTGTCTCGTAAACGAAATTATTGCATTTTCTGTTGGTACTGTTAGAAGGGGGGAGATGGCGCCAATAAAATTGGAAATGCTGATCACGACCATCGAATTTCAGAGTCCATGGACATTTTTCTTATTCTCAGCGCGATGATAATTTCGTCTGATCGCCTAAATGTGACTTGGATGAGGAAACCCTCCACCCTCCGCCTACCAACTTTGCATTCGCCCCACAGAACGAGAAAAAAAAGGAGAAAAGCCCTAAAAAAAGGAATACTAGATAAAGAAAGACAAGCGAAACGAAGTAAATACAAATAAACGAAGTTTTCGCTGAAACAAAAGAGCGCGAATTCTCAATTAGAACTTTTCCACTAACCGAAAAAAAAAACAATAGACATTGTTTACCTTCTATTGTTTCATTAAAACATATGTTGAATTTATTTCTGTGCGCGTATTTTATTTTGTTCAGTTTCGAAACGAGAACGTTATTAATATAATGTCGAAAATTCTATTATTTTTGTTTTTTTTTTGCTTCCCGTTCTCGCATTTTCGAGAGCCGTAGGGCTAAAGTTTGATAAGTTGGAGAGAGCGCGCCAAGTTTTTCCATCACATAATAAATAATATGGCTTAAGTTTTACAGTTTTCCGCTCTTTCCCGTCGTTCACCTGAGCATTCGGTGCAATACATCAAGCTCGACCCACCTCCTCTTTCCATCTTCCCATCCCACGAAAATTCGTTTCATTTGCCTTGTACGCACTTTAAAATTCTCCCATTCGACAGCAACTTCTAAGAGTTCCTCCTAATTGCACCCATATATTCAAACTCACATCCATTCTCTCAAGTTATACTTCACTTTATAGCTTGTATCTTTACAAAGGAACGACGATAACACCACTTAATTTATCTAACACTTACATACAATAACATTGGTTTTTTATTCTGAATTATAGAATGATATAGCAAGAAATAAAGTAGAAATTCTAATTGGATTTGTTTATTTCAGATGTCTTTGTTATGTCTTATTTATCTGCACCCTATCACCAACTCCTCCAACATCTTATATATCTTGTATTACTTTATTTATCATCCAGTTCATCGAAAGTCTTTTATTTCTTAACATATTTACAAAGATGCTAACACTTTAGTTCATACTAATTTATCTAACACTTACATACAATAACAATGGTTTTTTATTCTGAATTATAGAATGATGTAGCATGAAATAAAGTAGAAATTCTAATTGAATTTGTTTGTTTCAGATGTCTTTGTTATGTCTTATTTATCTGCACCCTATCACCAACTCCTCCAACATCTTATATTCTTGTATTACTTTATTTATCATCCAGTTCATCGAAAGTCTTTTATTTCTTAACATATTTACAAAGATGCTAAACTTTAGTTCATACTAATTTATCTAACACTTACATACAATAACAATGGTTTTTTATTCTGAATTATAGAATGATATAGCATAGAAATAAAGTAGAAATTCTAATTGGATTTGTTTGTTTCAGATGTCTTTGTTATGTCTTATTTATCTGCACCCTATCACCAACTCCTCCAACATCTTATAATCTTGTATTACTTTATTTATCATCCAGTTCATCGAAAGTCTTTTATTTCTTAACATATTTACAAAGATGCTAAACTTTAGTTCATACTAATTTATCTAACACTTACATACAATAACAATGGTTTTTTATTCTGAATTATAGAATGATATAGCAAGAAATAAAGTAGAAATTTTAATTGGATTTGTTTGTTTCAGATGTCTTTGTCGGACAACGCCAAGGTTGTTTTACGCGCTGTCAGCCTGAAGACTAGTGGACTTTACAGCTGCGAAGTCTCCGCAGAAGCCCCAAGCTTCGCTTCAGCACAAAGCGAAGCCCGAATGGAAGTAGTGTGTAAGTCATAAACAGTATTCTTTCTTTATATAAAAAATATTATATTATCAATATTCTATCGTTACACAAATTGACTTAAATATTGTATAAAATAGTTATATTAATATTTAGTTATTAAAAATTGATTTTAACAACTTCTAAGTTTATGAATCTCCAAAATAGAAAAGTAAACTCTGTCACTTCTTTCATTATTTTCTATTTATTTTTTTTTTGATAAAAACTTTTCTGCGATTGGTAAATGTATTGGAAAAAGAAATGGGGATGAATCTGTACGCTGTACGGACTTTCAGTTGGGGTTTTGGAGTGAAGGTGAAGGGATCAATTTCAAAGTGACTTTGTTCGAGAAAAAAACTTCCGTTCATATCCACTTTATTTAATCGCTTCGCTTCGAGCGATTTTCTTTGACTTTCCATCTAACTAGTTGCGTTTTATCGAGAAAGGTTCCACTGATTGCATGCACTTAGTACTGAGAATATTGGAGTGAATCGAGTTCTCCACGCTTAATGTCCGATATTCTACTGCACCCAAAATAAATTGCATTTAGATCGAATTGAATTGTTTCCGATTTATATGCCATCAATCAATCAATCAATCAGTCAGGTGACTTTCGCAAAAGATCTTACCGCTTCGACAGTTGCACCTTTACATTTATTTAGAAATAATTACATGAAATATAAAAGGGAATCAATGACCCTTTGTATGTTATTACACAATCAATTTTATCTAATAATTATTTACTTAAACAATTAGATACAATAAATTATTTAAAAAAAACTAGTATAATTAGAAAATTACTAGATTTAAAAGTATAAATAAACAAACCTGACTAAATATTAGATTAAGATTATTTACAAGTAAAAAATCCTAAAAGTAATGTTATAATTTGTAATTCTTAATATAAATCTTCCTTTTTTTTAAATTGATTTTAATGAATTTTTAATGACGTCTTCAGAATTGAAAACTGGATCTTTTTTTATTACCTTTCAAGGCCTACTGTCACCAATATATTTGTCTTTCAAGCTTTGGATTATCTTTTAAGCCTCTGTCCCTTTTCTATACTTAAAGGTTCTCGAATCGTTCTCCTACGTCTACGTCTTCCTATTCCCAGCCTCAGTTAGTCTCTATATCTCCAAAGGGCCTTACTCTACGTCCTCTTTTTCTCTCAATTATTTATCTGCACCCTATCACCAACTCCTCCAACATCTTATATTCTTGTATTACTTTATTTATCATCCAGTTCAGAGATGCTAAACTTTAGTTCATACTTTTAAAAAAATGGTACAAAAATATATTTGGTAGTGATTATTAAAAAAAAAGTGATAAAGTCCCACGTTGGTCGCCAAAATATGGAACATCATGTTGTTTTATAAAAAAAAAACAGATAGCATGGAAATTACCATAGGAAGTGGTGATATAATACCAATATTATCACATTTACAATCGAAAATTCGAGTATTTTTTGTTGTCGGTGATTGAGGTACATATATATATATACTATATGCGATATAGATCGGCATTAATTATTTGAACGGGCCCCAGGGGAGGACTCGATTGGCCAGAACGGTCCAGAAAACAAGCGGATAAAAGTTTCACACACAAAAAATACGTATGGAATCGGTGTACATCAGCAACGATTGACAATTAATTTCGATGCTTTAAGCGTTCGGTAATTCCCTTCGAGCAATTTGTTTTTTTTTTTGGCGACGTTATGCACATTTCCATTTAAAAGCCATTCAAATATGATATCGATTGGACGAGGGTGTACGCTGCATACGGATGGGGCATGCTGAACATACACACAACATTTGCTTGAAACATCGTGTGGTACCGAAGAAGCTTTGAAGTTTCGCTTTGAGCTTTTTTAACTTTCGGGCTCTTTGTGCTGCCGACGAGAGAACGATGAATGTATGTGTGTGTTTTGGAAGTTTGAGAGGCGGCGGAGGCAAGCGGTTCTTGTATAATGTTGGATTATTTTAAATATTGTCTGCTGCTGCTGCTGTTGCATCACCGCAGGAAGCAACAACAAGAAGAAAAGAGGAGATGAAAATAAATAATAAAAGGATGAAGAGGTTCTCTGTGCGGGTGAGTATCTCGACATATCATCGATCCGAAGGGTCGGGCATAAAAATTCAAAGACACGTCGTCCGCATCTCCTCCTGGCCCTTCGTCGTCTTCGAGAGCAAGGCGAAACGTCGTTTCCAATTATTTATTTACCTGCATCGCGAAATGGAAATCGCCTGCCGTGAAACCGCGCTGTTTATCTTTACCCCAGTCTCGAACTTAATGGATTCAAACTCGGCCGGTCGACCGAAAGCTCAAAGTTTATTAAGATTCTCCCCTAATGAGCAATTGTGATCAACCCCCTTTTGCAAAAGCCTTTTGCGGAGAGATGAAAAACAATGTTTGCGAATATTCTCAGAGCGCTAATACAAATGTGATTTTCCTTTAAGAATATCAATAGGGAAAGTTTGCTTTGCAAATGTTTATTAGTAGATCTAAAATATTCACAGTCACATCAAAGCTTTTGAAGTATTTAAAGCATATTTTCATAAATACATATACATAAAAGTATCAAAAAAATAAATTAAATTAAATTTTGAAAGAATAATATTTAATGGAAGTAAAATATTGTAATTTTTCTTAATTAATCAATATAATGTAAAGAGGATCTTTAAAATTCTAAGAGCTTTAAGTAAAACATAGATTATGCAAGGAGAATCTGAGCGCATAAATTTCGGACGCAAATTAAGATAGTTTTAATGAGTTCGTTCATAAATAAAGTAAACGTGGCGTTTATTAAAGTCCAAGCAAAACGTAATTGCAGCAGCAGCAGCAAAATAAAAAAATAAATTATCAAAATAGAAAAGAGAAACCGGCGCCAATTTTAAATCAATTCGAGGTGGAACTGCACTGCGGAAATTAGGTGGTTATTCCGTCAGATAGGAATTGCCGGCCGGAGGAAATGAGGGTGTGGGTTCAATAAAACCGTTGGCCGACGCCTGCATCGGGGAATAATTTCGTCCGACTTGCTGCTGCTCCGACGATTCGTTTTTCATTATGCGCGCACGTTACGTAACGCAATTAACTTGACCATAAATTTTCGCACCGATAGCCGCCGCCGCCTCCCACTCACCGTTCGCATATAAATACAAACGTGGATTTTCACCGCTCACAATTACAATCAGTCGCTCTCACTTCGTCTACCGCCTAATTATGAAATTCCCAGGTGATTTAATTGAATTACTTAGCGCTGCAACGGACGGAAAATAAAATTATTTGCATCCATGGAATTTCACCGCTTCCCTTTACATTTGCGCTCCATTAACGATCCTTAACAAACGTTATTGCCTCATGTACTTCAAGTTATTCAAAAACGTAAGTCAATGTTCATCAAGATTTGTAGTTGGTTTAAATATATGATATTCCAAATTTCAACTATAATCCAGTTAAAAATTAACATCGATGGAAATGTTAAAGAAACAAAATTGTTGATTTGCCAGTAAGGTCAATATCTACAAATTCTAAGGTATAAAACACGCTTTTTTTCTTAAAATATGAAGACAAATTAGAAATTATAAAATTTTGCTTTAATTTAGTAAAGATATATCGAAAATAGGAATAATATACCCGGCGCATCCACCCATTTCCAATTAGGTTGATGGTATTAGCAATATAATTTAATTATATTTCAATAACATCGATGGAAATGTTAAAGAAACAAAATTGTTGATTTGCCAGTAAGGTCAATATCAACAAATTCTAAGGTATAAAACACGTTTTTTTTCTTAAAATATGAAGACAAATTAGGAATTATAAAATTTTATAAATTTTGCTTTGATTTAGTAAAGATATATCGAAAATAGGATTAATATACCCGGCGCATCCACCCATTTCCAATTAGGTTGATGGTATTAGCAATATAATTTAATTATATTTCAATAACATCGATGGAAATGTTAAAGAAACAAAATTGTTGATTTGCCAGTAAGGTCAATATCAACAAATTCTAAGGTATAAAACACGTTTTTTTTCTTAAAATATGAAGACAAATTACGAATTATAAAATTTTATAAATTTTGCTTTAATTTAGTAAAGATATATCGAAAATAGGATTAATATACCCTGCGCATCCACCCATTTCCAATTAGGTTGATGGTATTAGCAATATAATTCAATTCAATTTCAATATTTTTAAGGTAAAATCGAATTCAGATAATTTGCACGCATATTACAGGTATCTATTGAGTCACACATTACAAGATTACTTTATCATATCTCAAGTATCTTCTCCTTTCCCGCTTATCCGAACTGCTGTATTGGAGGGAAAGGGTGTGGGGGTTTATTTTTACCATGTGAATGGGGATGGTCATGCGACGCAGCAGTGTG